ATAAACTATATTTTTTGATGATCTGTCACATACATTCAAAACAGTTATTATGCTGACTAACATGCCACAGCCTCAGAAACCTGGAGTCATCCTCATGCAGAAATCCAGGCAGACCACGGAGGAGAGCAGCACGTCGGCTATGGACGTCACCTTGATCCTTGAGTGCGAAAACATATCTTTGTTTTACTTTGGATGCTAAACAGCATAGCCACACAACAATTTATATCACAAGGGCTCTTCCATGACTGAAGAGATTATCATTTTGAAGCAATTGAGGCGTCTGCGATCCAACCTGTATCTCATTAGCACAACAACAAGGTGCAATAACATGAACACTGCTGTTCCCTCCCCAAACACAAGTATCTTAATAATAAATCTAAATATATCAGGCTGACCCCCCGCCCCCCAACACACACACAGAAAATCGACTCTAGTATGAAAATAAAACACCAAGAGGCTTAACCGACTCACCTGGCGGTCATAGGCGCTGAAGAGCTGATCCAGAACTTCAGACACTTTGCCTTTGCGTGCTGCCTTCTTTCTGAACAAGCTTAACATGCCGATCCAACACCGCGTAAAAGTGGTTCTTCAGGTTGAGGTTCGTTATCCTGTGAAACTCTGCACAAATCTGCCAAAATATAAAATGACTATTTAATTCAGAGTACAATGTATATGTGGACTGAAGGCAGCAGAGATAAACAGAAACATAACATGCTAAATCTGAGTAAACATGTCAAAGTTATCAGTGACAAAGGCACACAAAATAATTATATAGTTGTAATAAATAAAATATTTTCACCTGTGACTCCATTTTCAAGGCAGGTCAGCATTCCAGGATCTCTCCAACAGGTAGCTCATCATTGATGATTTAATTGCGCTGCAGGGCAAAGGTAGTCTGCATTAACTTTTAAATCAAGGGAATAATAATGTTATAATGTTCAAGTAACTCTGCCTTTGTATCAAAGACAGCAGCACAAAGTTTGCATCTCCAAGCCATTGGAAAACGTAACAATATTCACAGGCACCAACACAAATCTAACATAATTTCAGTGTTGCACACTAAATATTCATTCACATTTTAGTAACCATGTGGAATAAACATGGACGCGGGAAGGGGCTGCAGCACCCCCAAACGTGCCGCACCTACAGTGTAACAGCCCCTACAAACAGCGGCGTGCGTTGACGCTTGCGGTGGGCATGTCTGAAGCTAGACCAACAACCAATCACATGAAAGCTACGCTTTGCTCCCACAATGCAGCCAAACTGCATTGTGACTAGTGTTGTCACGATACCAACATTTTGGTTTCGATACCAAGTCAAGAATTGTGATTCTGATTCTTTTTCGATACTTTTCTTTTATTATTTTCATGATGAATAAAATTGTAGTTTATCTGTTAAGTGTTTTCTTACAACATGGTCTCTTCTTTATACTTGAGTTTATGTGATTTCTTTGATAGTTAACTTTATATTTTATTAACATGTAATAGTACAGTAATATAAATAATTATTGACAAAATGTACATTGCAGATGTTAGCCACATTGGTAAGTTAGCTAAAAAGATAGCCATGTTACGGCCCGTCAACACAGCGGTGTGCGTTGTCGCTTGCTGGCGGGCGTGTCTGAAACTCGACCAACAACCAATCACATGAATCTCCCGCCCCTGACACACAAGCAGCGGTTTGATTGGCTATAGCTTGTACTGGCATATGATTCGATTGGCTGACGCTTCTGCCGAAGCTTCAAAAGTTGAACATTGCTCAACTTTTGCAGCGAGCCACGCCAGCAAAGCTCCCACAATGCAGTTCGGCGAAAAGTGACGTCACCCCATTCAAAGTGAATGGTGAAGCTTTCAACGCACGCCGCTGTGTGGACGGGCCGTTAGACAGTTATCATTGCCATTAATTGCCTCGTCAAACTACGAAAACGTTCGTTTGTCACAAAATAAATTACACTTGTTTGACTTAGATTTGAGGGCATGGGCTGAGCATGATGTAATTATGTTATCTATCACATTCGCTAACCGGTCTGTCTTTAAATTCTTTAAAAAATGAAAAAAATGTCAGCTCTGGATGCCGGTCGGCGGGTGCTTAGCCAAGTTTGATGTGTTGGCTCCCTTGGTTTGCAGGGATCTAAAACATTTCTTACAGATAGGCCTCGTGGTGTCCGTAGGCTTGGTGCCCTCACTGTCAGAGATATAGCTAAAATACTTCCAAATTTCGCTTCTGGCGTCTTTTTTGTCAACAAGCCGAGGCGCAGCGGCAGTTGCACTCCCACTTGCTCCCCGTTTTCTCACATGCTCTGGCAGCTAGCGCGTGCACGAGAGAGGGGAGGGACTTAGAGCGTGCTTGAGAGGGGAGGGACTGCAGGCACGGCTGCAGTGCAGGGAGTGGAAGCAAAGCGCTGAACACACACGGCTCTTATTAAAACAGCGCTTTCTCACCGGAGTACTTTTCCCCGTCATTCTTAAAGTACCGATACTAATGGAACGGAGGAATCGCAACGCTTTTAACGGCAGCTTTAAACAAATCTTCAACCGCTTCCAACGCTTCTCTGCCCATTGACTTTGAATGGGGATGACGTCACTTTGCCTCGCTTGTCGCCGAACTGCATTGTGGGGGAGCGAAGCGAAGATTTCCAGGATTTTCAGGATTCAAAAGTTGAGCAATGTTCTACTTTTGAAGCTGAGCTGGAAGCGTCAGCCAATCAAATCCCGTTTATGCAAATCTGACAGTAGAAGCGCTAGCCAATCAAACCGCGTGTAAGCAGGGAGAGCCAGACCGCAGTTCATTTCCTCATATTCCAAACGAGAAATTACGGTAGCAAATCACCCGGTTCTATACGACCAGAACTATTAACGGGATACAAACCGGAGGAACCAGGCATGGAGGGAGGTGGCAGAGACAGTGGGTGAAACTGGTAGGTTTTCGCCTGTTTGGGGAGTTTATATATATATATATTGCTCGCATAAAATCCCCGGGGTTTTTTGCTTTGTATGTCGGGGGCGGGAGATTCATGTGATTGGTTGTTGGTCTCGTTGCTCGCAAAAAATCCCCAAGCTTTCAGACACGCCCAGCTCCAAGATTTTTGAAAAGCTGCAGTGTGGACGTACCGTAAGAGAAAAAACATTGAAGGTTAGCTGGGTTGCAAAGTTTTCACAAAATCTGAGAACATTTTCGAACCTAAAATGGCGGCAGGCGGCGCGCTTTTCTTCTTCTTTTGTGTTACCGCATGCATGTCTGTGCATGTGTTATTGACTTAGAGGCATAGAGGATTTACGTTCATTTTATCCACTAACGTTGTAGCCTACCATAACCGTGCGTTCTGCATGTTTGTAAAAGCAAGCTAACTTGAAACACTAGACTATTAATCTGTTAAATCCGGCAGCTCCTGGTACCAAGGGCTTCTTGTTCACGAAACTTTGTCTCAGGGCTTCTTAACATTTAAAAACCTATTAATGTGTCATACCCACTTAACGAAACTCAGCTAACTGACGATACGAACCATTTTTACCGAAACAAAATACAAGTCTCACAAGAAGCATCTACTGTAAATTAGCCCTGAGCGAAAAAATGCGTTTTCGCTATTGTTGCCGCTTTCGTGCACTGGTTCCCTCTATTTACAGGATACACTTTACACTCCGTCTGAACAAAAATTCATTTTATAGTTATATTCATTGGAGTAAACCTAACCTTCTTCCCCCAACATTTCCTCGGACTAGCCGGGATGCCCCGGCGGTACTCAGACTACCCTGATGCCTACACCCTGTGAAACACAGTGTCTTCCATCGGCTCCCTAGTTTCTTTAGTTGCCGTCATTATGTCCCTATTTATTATCTGGGAAGCATTCGCTGCTAAACGTGAAGTATCTTCCGTAGAGCTCACCACAACTAATGTGGAGTGACTTCACGGCTGCCCCCCACCATACCACACATTTGAGGAGCCTGCATTTGTGCAAGTTCATTACAACTAATCGAGGAAGGGAGGAGTTGAACCCCCATAAATTGGTTTCAAGCCAACCACATGGCCGTTCTGTCACTTTCTTAAAGACACTAGTAAAATTTAATTACATGGCCTTGTCAGGGCCAAATTGTGAGTTAACTTCTCACGTATCTTATCATGGCCTTTCCCTCCCAGCTCGGTTTCCAAGATGCTGCTTCTCCTGTGATAGAAGAACTTCTTCACTTTCATGACCACGCTTTAATAATTGTATTCATAATCAGCACCCTGGTCCTTTATTTCATCATCGCCCTAGTTACTTCTACTTTAACTAATAAATTCATCCTAGACTCTCAAGAGATCGAAATCATCTGAACTGTCCTCCCAGCAATTATCCTTATTTTAATTGCCCTTCCTTCCCTCCGCATTCTTTACCTTATGGACGAGATTAATGACCCCCACCTAACCATTAAGGCTATGGGTCATCAGTGGTACTGAAGCTACGAATACACTGACTACGAAAGCCTTGAGTTCGACTCTTACATAATCCCCACCCAAGACCTAGCTCCTGGACAATTCCGTCTCCTAGAAGCAGACCACCGCATAATTACCCCCGTTGAGTCCCCTATCCGAGTTCTGGTCTCTGCCGAAGACGTCTTACACTCCTGAGCAGTCCCTTCCTTGGGCGTAAAAATAGATGCAGTGCCGGGCCGACTAAACCAGACAGCCTTCATTACATCTCGCCCTGGCGTCTTCTACGGACAGTGCTCAGAAATCTGCGGCGCAAACCACAGCTTTATGCCCGTTGTAGTTGAAGCAGTCCCACTCCAACAATTTGAGGACTGATCCACCCTAATACTCCAAGATGCCTCGCTAAGAAGCTAAACAGGGCCTAGCGTTAGCCTTTTAAGCTAAAGATTGGTGACTCCCAACCACCCTTAACGGCATGCCCCAAAATTTCCATGCCAGTTGTTTTGCAATACTTACTTTTAGCCTCATGCTGTATTTTACCACGGGCCACACCAAAATTATAGGACACACAAACTCCCCTAAGCCCTCCCCTTGACCCACAAAATTTCTTAACTGACAAAAATGAGCCTGACCTTGATCCTAGGCCTTTTCGACCAATTTTTTTCTCCTTATCTCCTCGGCGTGCCTCTTCTAGCTGTTGCTATCGCCGCCCCTTGAGTATTATTCCCAAAACCCGCTAATCGCGTGATCCACGGCCGATCCCTTGCAGCCCAAAATTCTTTTGTCTTGAACTTTACAAAGCAAATTCTCCTCCCCCTAAACGTGGGGGCCCATAAATGAGCACTACTACTTACAGTGCTAATGATTAATCTTATTACACTAAATTTACTTGGGCTTCTTCCTTACACCTTCACCCCTACTACCCAGCTACCTCTTAACATGGGGTTTGCTATTCCTTTGTGGCTAGCTACAGTCGTTATTGGCCTCCGCAATCAACCAACGATAGCACTAGGCCACCTCCTACCAGAAGGCACCCCCGCCCCTTTAATCCCCGTCTTAATTATTATTGAAACAATTAGTTTATTTGTCCGACCCTTCGCATTAGGCGTCCGGCTGACAGCAAACCTAGCAGCCGGGCACCTCTTGATCCAACTTCTAGCCTCCGCCACTCTTTTCCTAATTAACCAAATGTGGCCAGTAGCAATCCTAACTGGTCTAGTAATAGCACTCCTAACTCTTCTTGAGCTAGCAGTAGCTGTCATCCAAGCCTACGTATTCGTTCTTCTTCTCTCACTGTACCTGCAAGAAAACACCTAAACGCTACCCGAAACACCCCCCCCCCCCCTTTTTTTAAATAATGGCCCACCAAGCACACGCATACCACATAGTTGACCCCAGCCCTTGACCATTAACAGGCGCAATCGCCGCCCTACTAATAACATCAGGCCTTGCAATCTGATTTCACCAACACTCCACCACTCTTATAACCCTCGGCATAATCCTCCTACTCCTCACAATATTCCAGTGATGACGAGACATTGTCCGAGAAGGCACTTTTCAAGGCCACCACACCCCTCCCGTGCAAAAAGGGTTACGATATGGGATGGTATTATTTATTACGTCAGAGGTCTTCTTCTTCTTAGGGTTTTTTTGGGCCTTTTACCATGCCAGCCTCGCCCCTACCCCTGAGTTAGGGGGCTGCTGGCCCCCAACAGGCATTTTCACCCTAGACCCTCTAGAAGTCCCCCTGCTCAATACAGCCGTACTGCTTGCCTCTGGGGTAACAGTCACCTGGGCACATCACAGCATAATAGAGGGTAATCTGAGCACAGAACTCATGGTAGAAATACTTTATTATACTTATCGTAACTGCACATACAATATATCAGATTAAAGCTGAGATTCCACAGACTCTAGAAATATTAGTATCATCACTGCGCGATCATTATCTTTGCTGAGTTACATGTATTTGAAAACGCTGGGGGGTATAAATTACCTTGTTAAATGAATAGTCTAGTGTTTCAAGTTAGCTTGCTTTTACAAACATGCAGAACGCACGGTTATGGTACATTGTAGTGGATCAAATGAACGTAAATCCTCTATGCCTCTAAGTTAATAAAACATGCCCAGTATTAACTGTGATGGTTATTCTCGCGTCCAGGAAAGAGAAGCTTAAAAAGGAGACTAAATGGAGTCTCTGAGATGTTTTCAAATTGGTACTTTAATTAATAAAAAAGGCGCGGTAAAGTCACAAACAGGATATTTTCTGACAGAAAAGCAGCTGCCTCTGGCTCCCCGCTAGCAGAGAAAAGAGGCCGAACCCCTCAGGTTTCGTTGTTTATATAGCCTCTCCTGGCTCCTCACTGGGGGCCGGCTCTCCGCGTATTTAATGTCCGTTGTTACGCATATCACAAGATACAGACATTGTACATTCAATATATATCTAAACACGCCTTTTCTCCTTCTTAACTCTTTCATGACTTTTCATTTGACACATTCTAAACGCTTTAATCAATACTCCAAAAAATACAGAAAATCCTTCACAGCAATTTGATTTCCGGTCGTTCCGAATGTTGTGACATGCTACCCACATCTGTAAACGATAACGTACTCAAATAAACTGTACCTTCATTTAATATCCAACAATAATAATATCTCGACGTCTATAGTTGTAGTGTTGAAATGAGTAGGTTTCGGTGTGCAACATCATATCATATCGCTGCTAAATTCACCTCTATAGGAAATGGTATATTAGCCTCATGCTAAATGCTAACCGGAGGTGAAGGATTTTCAGAATAAAAGCTTAACTGGTTTTTCAGTATAATACAGCATTTAAACTAAAGGTACATTTAAGGTACATTATGCCATCAAAACATTGATTTTAATTTCTAACACCAGACATGAGGTAAAAATAAGAAGAAAGAAAACGCGCCGCCTGCCGCCATTTTAGGTTCGAATTTTCCAGAAAACATTTGCAACACAAATGTTCCACTTTGAGATATAACTTAAAACAATATAAAAATACTGTCTTACATGTAAGTTAAATCATTTTTCAAGTGAGGCTTAAATGTAGGCTAGCTAACAAGAGCTCAAATCAAACTAACACATCATGCGACACAAAGTGCATTAGATGCAGAAATTAATAAAACATAATTTAAATACTGTGCAAAGGCAAGATGTAACTCACCAGAGTAGTGCGGCCAAAAAAAAGGATCACGATTCCGGCAGTGAGAGCACGGTGGGCAAAGTATTCCCTCGTAATGTCCTCCCGATATGCACCTTGTGCCCTCTGGGGTCATTTTTGACACCGTCTTGCTCGACTGTTATTTCAAGCATAAAGTATGAAATGTCAATCAATTTTGTGTTACACCTTTAGTTTTGCTTCAGTCCAACCCAATACCATACATTTTTCCCTTTGTTTTGGAATTTAGAGCCAAAATACCTTTTTTATATGAAATGTTACCATTTTCTGAGTTAAAAAATAAATGAAACTATTTAATAATTTCAACATATCGTATTGTGACTATTTGTCTTATCAGAGACTGGTATATGTCAAAGTTTAGTAAGGATGCCCTTTTTGAATAATTTATATTTTTTTAATGACAACACATAATCACACCTTGTGCCCTCTGGGGTCATTTTTGACCCCGTCTTGCTTGACTGTTATTTCAAGAATTTAAAGTGGAAACCTCACGCATTTCTGTGTTACACATTTAATGTGCCCTCAGTTGCATGCAGGGCAGGTAACAATGGTGTGATCTTTGCAGATGTATGCATTGCATCTTTGGCACATTTTCTTGGTTTTTACATCTATCTGGCGAGGGCAGAATTTGTACCTGCTCCTTTTGGGTGATGGGTCAGGAGGGGGAGCTTGGCGAGCGGGAGCTGGGCGAGTGGGCGCTGGGTGACGGGTAGCTGCTGCAGAGGTAGAGCTGGAGCAGAACTGCTGGACCTCCATAACCAAACTGGCAGCGGCTGGCGTGCGGGGAAGAACCTGTCAAGTCAAGTCAAACTTTATTATAATAAATCACAGTGCAAATACAAAAAGTTCAAATTGTGAGGACACTACAGAAGGAAGAGCAACAGAAATGAAGCTTAATGCTGACCTTGCGTTGCTGGATGTGAGGTATCACAAGTTGTCGTCCAAGCTCCACCATGAACAGCCTCCTCTTGTTGCACTTCCCCTGATTCCAGGCTGGGTTGATCTCAGACCACAGGACAAAGGAATTGTATGCAGACACGTCGAGAATGTTGAAGAAGACAACTAGGGGCCAACGGGCTGTCATTCTTTTGCACGTGTACACACTGGTAACCTTGAAACAAAATAAACAAACCAAAACATATTCAGAAATGTATGTTTATTTCCTACACACAAATTCAATGCATTATCCTTCCCATAAATAATATTATTAACATTATGAATAATAAATGTGAAATACCTTGTCAAGGTTATCGACACCCCCTTTGTTGTGATTGTAATTGTCAAGGAGTGAACTCTGAGGCATGAACTCAATTGCACGACTCAAACTCAGACTCGGATAGTGTTTCAAAATAAAGACTTTACTGGGATTTGCACAGTAATGAAAACAAGGAAAACAAAAACACTCTTTCGAGGAAAACTAGAACAGTGATCAATAACATAGATCCATGAGATGTCCGTGAGGTAAGCAGGAACGTAGGTCAAAGAGAGACAACGAACTGACAATGAACAGGAGGGAGCTAACACAATATATACACAGGTAAAGGGGACACAGGTGGAAACAATCAGGGCGGGGAAAACAATCAAGGACGCAGGAGACAGAAGGGGGCGGGGAGCGTGGAGGCCTGAAATGAGAGGGAGAATTAATTAAGGGAATAAACATAAAGCACAGGACAAAGGGACATGACAAAACTAACATAAAGAATACACTTTCACTATAAGTTTCTTGGACATGACAGTAATCTTCGATGATTTTGGGCTTTTTGTCATCCCTGTCGCTCACAGCTGCATCCCGATGCAGAGTGCTCATCAGAAGAACATTTCCCTGTTTTTTGGGGAGATAGGACACCAGAGCATGGGTCTCGGTGAAAGCAAACTTTGATGAGAAACAAGCCCTGTCCGCTTTTGACACCAGTGCAGGGGGAAGCTCAGGTTTATTTCTCCTTACTGTTTCCACCATGAACAGCTTTCTTTTCAGCAGCGCCAAGCCAAGGGCATGTGAAGTAAAGAAGTTCTCACAGGTTATCGTTTTTCCCTGCAGGCCTTCTGTCATGTCAAGGACAACTCGCATGCCCGGATATACTGTTTGAATGGACAGCGACTTCTGAATGGGACCAGGCGCTCATCGACAGTCACATTAGTGCCTGGATTGTACATAATTGGCAGGAGAGACACCCACGTGTCCCAAACGTCTCGACTTGGAGCAAGTTTGTCTCGTGCCCGGCGATCTTTTCTTGTGTCTTTCTCATCAAATCTTATGACTGGAGATTTTATGAAACATTTTAAGTGTCATGGTAGCACAGAAAATTGCCCTACCAGACCAACAAACCCACGTATACCTGCAGGTCCATTTGATCCATCTTTCTCCATTTTTTCCCATAAACACGCTGCCCCTCCTTGTTAGTCATGTTCAGCACTGACTCTTCGATGGCCTTGGGCAGAAACAGATAAAAAGCGGACTTTATGTCCTCGATACGAGACCTTGCATACAGGGTTGGACCCTGGGGGCTTGTCTCTCTCTCTGCTTTCTCTGCTGTTACCATGCGACGTCCGTCACAGGGAGGGATGGAAGACCAGATCATTTTTTCATCCTTAGATTGGAAATATTCTTCCATCTCAGCTGGGTCCTCTTCCTCAGATTCTTCCTCATCAGTGGATTCTTCCACTTCCTCAAAATAAGTGCGGTCCTCCACTTCTGACACTTCTTCCATTTCTGATTCTACCTCTTCATATTCATTTTCCTCCATTTCAAAACCTTCTTCCATTTCAGAAGCGGGCGATGTGGGGGCTTCTTCAGAGGAAGAATTTGGTCTGTAACTTACATCGATCACCTCTTCATGAGTTTCCTCCTCTTCTGACCCTGAATCCTCCTCATCGGTTGATTTTTCCTCCATGACACGGTTAAAGATTAGCTCATGAACCTCCTCCACAGTCAAATGTTTCTGCCTCCTCATTTTGCTGCCTGTCTCTCTCAGAATAAAATGTGAAATGCCCCAACATTTGTGAGAAAAGGCCTGTTTGTTTTTGACTTGACAATTGATTGATCCAATACATCAAAGGTGTGTATGTGTGTGTGCCGTAACTAGGGAGGGATTAAAAGGTGAAATGCCCCAGCAACCGTGAGAAAAGGCCTGTTTGTTTGTCCTCTGAGTGAAACGT